ACCTCAGCCTCCCAAAGGCACGGGATTACAGGCTGAGCCACCGAGCCTGGCTCCAAACCTTTCTAATAGGACCTCTGGATGCTCCCGCAGATGGCAAGTAGAAACCATCTATACCCTTCACCTTTACCTCAAATATTCTCATCTACCTTTCAAGCTGTAGCTGAAATCTGGCTATTGACCTGGGTTCCTCTCTGGTGTTGTTTATTCTCATAAATTCCTCCCAATATCATCACTGCTTTGCACCTTTATATAAAACTCAGTTTCTCTGAGGACCCTGCTCTTCCACTAGCAACTACCCCATTTCCTCTCAATTGCCTGAATTAATTTTGTCATCTCCCTGATGGCAGCCCTTTGGACAAGCATCTAATATCCCAACTTCAGTTCTTGATCTTCAATACAAAGACTTTTCCTTTCATTCCCTTCAGCTACCCACTTCCACAGCCACACCTAACCCTGTCATCCCCAGAAAGTGCTCCATCTCCAAAATTTCACACTTCTCACTTTCTGACTCAAACCTTCTACCTGTCCCTCTCTTATCCCCAGTACAAGTTCACTGAATCTCATCAATAACACTAAACTCTTGACTTTCCTACATTCTGTTACTTTTTTACATCCTGCTCTCAGCCTAGACTCCATCCAACTACTATCCTCATTTTTCTTATACCTCCACTATCATCTCTGACCAGTAAAAGCTCTACCTGAATCAAATTGCCTAGTTCCTATAACATGATGCTAATCAAAGCTGGGGGAAAAAAAACATTTATCCATACAAATTGGTATCCCCAAATACTTGCTTCCTACCTTAACTGAGTCCTTATTGTTGCCTGGCAATTTATCCTAGACACAACACTTCCCTATTCCCCAAAGTGGTTATTTCAAGCCTTCTCTTCTGCCCTCACAACTACAGTCTCTTAGAACTTGCTATTTTATATCATTTCCCCAAACTTTCAGCAGACATTAAACCTTCTCATCAGGGGTATATTTAAAAAAAAAAAAAAAAGACATCCAATATCTCAACTTCCTGCCACTTCAGCTAATCCTAGTTTATAGTTACAAGAGTAGTTGTAAGGTTGAAGCCTGGGTTAGAAACCTGGCTCTGCCACTTACTAGATATGTGATCTTGGGCAAGTTGCTCAATCTCTCAGTGATTGTTCCTCACTGTACCCTCTAGAAAGCCCCTTCTCAATGTCAATCGAAATCATTTACACCATCTGCCTCTTCCATGAAATGTCCTCTGTACCTCCTGGCCTCAAATGATTGTCATAAGTTATATACATAGACCTCTTATAACAAATAGTAGGCTCCCAATAAATTATTATTATTGAGTCAGAGTCTCACTGTCGCCCAGGCTGAAGTGCAGTGGCACGCTCATGGCCACCACGGGCTCGACCTGCTGGGTTCAGGTGATTCTTCCACCTCAGCCTTCCAAGTAACTGGGACTACAGGCGTGTACCACCATGACAGGGTTAGGTGTGGCCGTGGAAGTGGGTAGCTGAAGGGAATGAAAGGAAAAGTCTTTGTATTTGAGATCAAGAACTGAAGCTAGGGTATTAGATGGTTGTCCAAAGGGATGCCATCAGGGAGATGACAAAATTAATTCAGGCAGTTGAGAGGAAATGGGGTAGTTGCTGGTGGAAGAGCAGGGTCCTCAGAAAAACTGAGTTTCATATAATTTTTTTATTTATTGTAGAGATGATGTCTCACCAAGTTGCCCAGAATGGTCTCGAGCACGTGGGCTCAGGCAATCCTCTCACCTTGGTCACCCAAAGTGCTGGGATTATAGATGTGAGCCACCATGCCCGGCCCTAATAAATTATTTTTTTACTATTATCAGCATCCGCACCTATCCTTACCTCCAACTGCAATGCAAGAAGGCATTCTCCTACAGCAAATCCTTCGCCGGTGTTCTAAATGCCATTCACTCAAAGAATCTGACCATCAATTATCCCATTTCCTCCCATGTAATGTATTAACAAGTTCAATTCCCATTTAATCTTTTTTTTTTTGAGTTAGAGTCTCACTCTGTCGCCCAGACTGGAGTGCAGTGGCCACTCCCGGCCACCGCAGCCTCGACCTGCTGGGCTCCGGCGATCCTTCCGCCTCATTCCGTCTCAGCCTTCCAAGTAGCCAGATTACAGGCATGCGCTACCACACCCGGCTGATTTTTTGATTTATTGTAGAGATGAGGTCTCGCTGCCCAGGCGGATCTCGAACCCGCAGGCTCAGGCAATCCACTCACCTCAACCTCCCAAAGGCGTGGTATTACAGGTTGAGCTACCGAGCCCAGCAATCAAGATTCTTAATTGTCCATACTCCCTGTTATCAATTTCTCCAGTTTCTATTACTCATTATCCCACTTCAGTTTGGGTTCAGAATTCAATTCTCTACTTTCAAAACTGGTTTTGCTAAGGTGGTGGTGCTCAACAAAGGGTAAGTTTGCCTCCAGTGGACACCTGGCAATGTCTGAAGACATTTTTGGTTGTCACAACGTTGAGAGAAGGTATCCCAAGGTAGAGAGAGGTCAGGGATACTGTTAAACATCCTACAATGCACATGACAGCCTCCCTCAAGGAATTATCCAACCCAAAATGCTAGTACTTATCAAGTCTAAGAAACCCTACCTGAATTGTACCCCACATCTTTAAAATAAGAAAATTTAAAGTTAAAAAAAAGACAAAGAAACCCTGTGCTAAAGTAACTTACAACTTTTTTTTTTTTAGAAGAAAGTTTATTATTCACCTTTCACAGACTGGAAAGGGGACCAACACTCAGGGACAAGTGTGGCAAATCTCGGTGGGACCTCCCAAAAATGTTAGGGTCACACTACCAGCGGGGCCTCTAGAATGTTAGGTCAGACCCGTTGGGGGGTGTGTGTGTCTGGTGTGCAATCTGACGCCACATGAAAAATGCAAAGAATTGCACAGAAGTTATATTAGAAAATATTGTTTATTTAGAAAGTAAATTGGAGAAAGAGAAAGAAGGAGGGATTCACCTCCCCAAGGAAGAGGTGGGAGCCAGAGCTTAAGAAAACATGGCTTGGCAATAGCTCAAAGAGCACATGGCCACACCATAGCTTAGCAAAACAATGGCTAACTTACAATCTCTATTGGCTAAATGTAACGAATGATTTCTATACGTAACTTAGCCTGGCTTGAGCACTTGGCACCATTTCCTACAATAGCTTCTTTCCTAAAATCTACTCTTCTTGTAGGTTCTACTGACCACACCTTACTGGCCATTCCCAGGATTCCCTTCTGCTCATCTTCTAAATGTATTTCTGAGAGTTCTGTCCTAGGCTCTTCTCTCTCCACATTCTATCCCCCCAAACTATAATCACCTGGGTGTCTTTTAAATTATGTCCAGGTGCCAGGTGCAGTGGCTCATGCCTGTAATCCCAGCACTTTGGGAGGCAGGGGTGAGAGGATTGCCTGAGCCCAGGGGTTCGAAACCAGCAGGTCGAGGCTGCAACGGCCATGAGCATGCCACTGCACTCCAGCCTGGGTGACAGAGTGAGATTGCAACTCAAAAAAAATAAACAAACAAAAAATAGATTATGTCCAGGCCTGATTAATAGATTTGTTTTGGAGTGGTGCCTCTAGACATCTTTGTACAAACTTTCCAGCTAATTCCAAAATATAGCTAGGATGGTAAACCACTGCTACAGACAGTTTTAATTATATCAACTCTCATCACTTCGTTATGTGACTCAAATCTGCATCTGAAATAGATTCATTTAGTCAACTTTCACTGAGTACCTACTCTGTGCCCGATACTGTCCCAGGCACTGGTGTAGAACAGTAAACAACACTTAAGGTCCCCTATTTTCCTGGTGCTTATATTCTAATAGGGGAGGATAAATTGAAAACTGCATGCCCGGTTAATTTTTTGATTCATTTCAAGTAGTGGTTAAGTACTGTAAAGACATTACAAGAGGTGATATGAGAACAGGGAGGGGCAATATTTTAGGTAGGATGGCCAGGAAAGACCTTGGAGGGAGGGTAAAATTTGACCCAATACTATAGTGAAAAGGAGTCAGCCATGTGAATATCCAAGGAAGGAGAATTCAAGACAAAGAACAGATGCAAAGATACTGAAGCAGAAGCATGTTTGGTATTATTTAAGAGTTACAATCAATGTAGCTGAAGCAAGCTAAGTGTAAATAAATGTTACAAAGCAAGGTTGGAGAGAAAACAGAGGCCAGATCCTATAGTGCTTTGTAATTCAGGGTAAGGAATTTATAGTTATAAATACAATGTAAAGTATCATTAAGAAGGTTTAAAGAGGCAAGACATATAGTCTGATTTACCTCTTTACATTATCATTTGGTTGCCGTGTGAAACAGATTTTAGAGGGGCAAGTCTGTGTACAGGGACCTATGAATAGGTTATCACAATTGTCCAGAAAATTGTACTGTATAAGAGGATTGTAACCAAGAATATAAAGAGGTTTCAGATATATTTTGGAGGTAGAATTAAAGGGATCTATTAGTACAGGATAAATTAAAGAAATCGAGGGTAAGTTCTAAGTTTGTTTAATTGATCTTGTCAGATCTGGGTGGATGGTGAAGGCATTTACCATCCACCTAGTCAGGAAGACTAGGAAGAAAGTGATTTGGAAGGGAAGCTCAAAAGTTCTATTCAGTACATATTATTTTAAGCACCTATTCTTTTAAATCCAAGTTGCAAGGTCAGTAAGCAACTGGGAGAGAGGGGAATTTAAGAGGGCGAAATCAGGACTCAGGACATAAATTTGGTAGTCACCACCATATTAAATGGTATTTAAAGCCTGAGTGAGCTTACCCAGGTTAAAAGTAATTAAAAAGAGAAAAAGAAACTTCTAACATATAGAGGTCAAACTGGGGAGAAACTAGGTTGAGAGGTCATTTAAGGCAGAAAATCAGGAGAGCATAATACTGAATGCTTTCAGAACTGCAGATCTGCATATCTAGCTGCCAACTGGATGTCTCTACTTGAGTTTCACAAGTGTCCCAAACTTAACATACCCCAAACTGAATTCATTCCCATCTTGCTGGTAACTGTTCCTTTCCCATTTCCTATTTCAATTAAGTGTATCTATTCAATCCCTCAGGCCAGAAATCTGACTCTTCCTTCCCCACTAACATCCAACTAAATCCCGTCACATTTTCCTTCTCTTTTTTTCTCTTTCATTGTTCAAATCTTTGTTTACCTCCTTTCCCCAGTCACTGAGTTCAGGGCAATATAACCTCTTACCTGGCTTTTTGTCTCCAGTATAGTCTCTCTACAAGGCAGCCATAACCATATTTCAGTTAACACCACTCACATCAGATCATGCCACTCCCTTGCTTACAATCTTTCAGTGACTCCCTATTTGGAGGCAAGTGAAAAATGAAATGCAAGGACCTTATCATATGGCTTATTTACCTCTCTAGCCTTTTCTTTTGCATGCCCACCCTTGACCTCTTCCCTCCAGTCACAATAAACTATACAGACTTCTCCTAAAGTGCAGAACCTGTTCTCTACTTTGTCTTCCTCTTAACTCCTGATTGTTCATGTCATTAGTTTCCTGCTGGGAACACCATTTTCTAGCCCAAGACTCTATACTTGGCCAATTCCTACTCTTCCTTACAGACTCACCAAGCCTCTTCTACTCCCATGTGACTAGACTATCCTTCAAATTGGCACTTTAAGCACCTTGTACTTATCCCTATTGGACTATGCATTCTATTTACTTGATCAATAAAATGTCTAGAATCTGATCCAGTGCCCTATCCATAGTTAAGGGTAGGATAAATAGTTATCTAATGAACAGCAAATAACATAAAAATATATCGTTATCTTAACCCTGGCTTATCAAATCCTTTCTCTTCCTACCAAGCCCTGAGAATTTCATATTCCCAGTATCTAAAACAATACCCTAAATAAATAGTTCTCAACTGTAAGCTGGTACTAAACTGACGGTATCAAAATTACCTGATGAGCTTGATATAAAGATTCCCAGCCCTAATTCCCCACAGCTCACCAAGTTTTGATCAAAAAGACCCCTTGTGAGGCCTAGGAATCTGTACTTTTAACAAACTCCTCAGGTGATTTTAACTTGCAGTCATTCTTGGGAAACCTACTCTAACCAGAGAAGCTCAATAAATATTGTTGAAAGTAACATTTTGATTTACTGAAGTAGAATTTGTTTCCTGATTCTTTAGAGTCAGAGTCTGCTGTAACTGTGTCCTGAGTGTGATAGAACAATGCACTAATATGTACAAAAGTCCACAAAAACAAGCAGTCTTTATTGCAGTATTACAAAACACTTTTCATTTTGGCAATATTTTACAACGCATGTAGCTTTGAGGGTTGGGGAGAAAAAGGATGGAAACTAAAAGGGAAAATTTCAATGGACATTTCTAAAAGAAAAACTGTCCCAGCCCTCCCACCCAAATAAAAATCCAAATGTCACTTAATTTCACTACCCAAGAAGAGGCCACGAGGAAAGCAGCAGGCAAACTCTGGCAATTTCACTATGGATCATGTCAGAGAGAAAGGAACATTCAAAACAGTCATCAGTATGGTCGGTTGCGCTGATCATTTCTGTAGTCGTTTCTAGGAATGAAAAATAAAAAGCCAGACTAAATTCTAATTTTCTATCAAGGGAGAACATCAGACACTTCTTCAGGATGCTGGTGATTGGCATCAGCTAGACAATTTCTGTAAGGATGACACCATACCTAATTTATTTCCATACACCTATAAAGTACTTAATACATGTCTAATTTATTAGCTTTAATACAAAGTTGCTAGAAGAAGCTTTGCTATCACTAGCTCTTAAAATTTTTTTACCTAGGCCGGGTGCGGTGGCTCAAGCCTATACGCTCAGCACTTTGGGACATGGAGGTGAGAGGACTGCCTGAGCCCAGAGGTTAAAAGCCAGCCTGGGCAACTTGGCAGACCATATCTCTACGACAAATTTAAAAATTGGCCAGGCATGGTGGCACACATCTATAGTTTCAGCTGCTTGGAAGGCTGAGGCAGAAGGATCGCCTGAGGCCAGCAGGTTGAGGCTGTAGTGGCCATGACTGTGCCACTGCACTCCAGCGTAGACGACAGAGTGAGACTCCAACTCAAACACACACACACAAAAATGCAACCTAGAATAAGGACTACAAACCACCACATTATTTCAGGAGATCGGAAACTGTGCCAATAGCAGCACTCTAAACAGAATAACGGCATTAAGAGTGGCATAGTGTCGATCTTCTATATGACCCCACAATCCCCCTACTAGGAATATACCCTGAAGAACTCATATCACTCTATAAAAAAGATACCTGCACACGTATGTTTATCGCAGCATTGTTCACAATAGCAAGATCATGGAACCAACCATCAAAAGAGGACTGGATTTTAAAAATGTGGTACATATATACAATGGAATATTACGCAGCCATAAAAAAAGAGCAAAATCATGAATTTCGCAGCAACCTGGATGGAATTAGAGTTTATAACACTGAATGATCTCTCAAAGAAACCAAGATCTGAGCATCACATGTTCACACCGATAAGTGGACCTTGAACAACTACCGTAATACTATAAGAAAAGGATTGACAGTGGGGGGAAACTATGGAGGGGACACGGAGGGGAAGGAAGGTGGAATTAATGGTAGTCAATATCTGTCTGGGGAAAGGGGGGCAACACCTCATCAACAAGGGTACCTGCACAATGAATATTTGTATACCTAACTCTTAACTGTACCCCACAACTTTAAAATAAAAAATATATATTTTTTTAAAAAAAGAGTGACATAGTGGAATGGGCAAACATTTTCATATATGAATTCTGGATCTGCCACTTGGAAAAGTTACTAAATGACTCTGACTCTGTAAAACGAGAGGTACATCCACCTCAGGAGGTTGACAGAAAGACTAGAACTAAATATATAAAGATGATTTACTGGACCAGACATGGTGGCTCAAATACGTAATCCCAGTGCTTTGGGTGACTTGAGAAGAGGATCACTTGAGGCCAGCCTGGGCAAAACAGCAAGACCCCATCTCTACAAAAACATAAAAATAAAAAAATAGCCAGACATGGTGGTGCATGCCTACAGTCCTAGGTACTCAGAAGGTTGAGGAAGGAGGATCTCTTGAGTCCAGGAGTCAGAGGCTGCATTGAGCTATGACCATGCCATTGTACTCCTTCCTGGACAACAGAGTAGGATACTGTGTCAAAAAAATAAATAAATAAAATAACATAAAATAGAAACATTTTACAGTATTTGCCACACAGAAGTGTTCAGCAGATGTTAATTAGGCTATCATAATTACTAATAACTAAAAAGTATATAGTGCTTACTAGGGGCCAGCAACTGTTACAACATAATCTAATACAACTCTACAAAGGATGTATTATTATCCTCATTTTACAGATAAGAGTACCGACACTCCAGGGAATTAAGCAACTTTCCTAAGGTCACACAGCCAACAAATGGTAGTCAGTATTTAAACCCAGTCTTAGCCGAGCTCAGTGGCTCAGCCTGTAATCTCAGCACTTTGGGAGGCCGAGGCAAGTGGACTGCCTGAGCCTGAGGGTTCGAGACCTGCCCGGGCAACTTGGCAAGACCTACCTCATCTCTACAATAAATAAAAAATCAACTGGGCGTGGTAGTGCACCCCTGTAGTTCCAGCTACTTGGAAGGCTGAGGCAGAAGGATCACCAGAGCCCAGCAGGTCGAAGCTGCAGTGGCCGGGAGCGTGCCACTGCACTCCAGTCTGGGCAACGGAGTGAGACTCCAACTCAAAAAATAAAAAAAATAAAAATAAACCCAGTCTTTCCCAACTCCATGCTCTTAACCACATTCTATACTAATTCTCACTACCCTATACTGCATCCAGCATACAGATCCTTAGTATAACTGAAAGTTAGTTTACATCACTGGTCTTCAACTTTTTCTGCCTCCACACTATTTATGTACACAACACACTCCCATCAATGGTTCTCATCTAGAAAAGGTATCAGAATCTCCAGAGAAGCAAATGCAAGGTAGCGTGATTTGAAAAAGAACACCCCTCTGAAAGGTATGCTTTCCCTTCACTTAGATTAAGAACCCTTGTTTCTTAATCAGTTTCAAGTTAGTTATTTTCTCTCAATCTCAATTATCTTCAGCTATGAGAAAAAATTCACACACATGCATACATTCTAACAATATAAAGATTTATAAATAAGAGTTTCCAAAACTAATTTTAGAAACTGCTAAGAAGGAAACAAAGGATCTTCTCCATCCTGAGAGCTGTCATCGGGAAATTCAATTTCCAAAAAGTTGGACAAGAAGAAGAAATGTGACGAAAAGGGCTCAAAAACCCTAAAATCTAGGAGCAGTGAGGTAAAAAAGGTTAGCAAATGCATTCTAATACTCACCTTCCTCCCATTTTGCCTCCATAGCCACCTCGGTCTCCTCCATAGCCACCACCACTCCTATCTCCTCCATAGCCTCCACTTCGGTCTCCACCGTAGCCTCCACCACCACGGTCTCCACCGTAGCCCCCCCGACTTCGATCTCCTCCATAGCCCCCTCGATCTCCTCCATAACCTCCTCGATCTCCTCCATAGCCTCCTCGATCTCCACCATAACCTCCTCGGTCTCCACCATAGCCTCCTCCTCGGTCTCCACCATAGCCACCTCGATCCCCTCCATAGCCACCACCTCTGTCCCCACCATAACCGCCGCCTCTGTCTCCAGCATAGCCACCCCCACTTCTGTCCCCACCATAGCCACCCCCACTTCTATCTCCACCGTAGCCACCACTGCCACTTCTGTCTCCACCATAGCCACTCCCACTTCTGTCTCCACCATAGCCGCCTCGGTCTCCACCTCTGCCCCCACGACCTCTGTAGCCCCTCTCTCCACCGTAGCCTCTCCCTCGGAAATCTGTAAGGTAGAAATGCAAACTAGTGAGGTCAGTAGAACAATGTAAAGCCTCTTTAATGCTAGTTAGAAGATATGCACCATGTAGATGCTATTAAAGGGCCGACTCACCTCCACCTGAGGGACGAGAGTCCTCTGGTCTAGGCTCATTGCACTGATTGCAAGAATTCCTTCGAGCAAAGTTCATATTTCCACATGATCTGAGAACGAAGGAAAATAAAATGCTCCTGGGCAGTTCTAGTCTATTCAGAGCCCCTCTTGAACCCTCCAACCCCAACCACAACCCATACCCCCATCAAAGTAAATGGGTTACTTACGGATTAGGACAAACCCAGTCTCCACTTTTGGGGTCTCCACCTCTGCCCTGAAAACCTCCACGGCCTCTATATCCTCCACGACCTGAAGGGAATGAGAGGCAGAAGGGAAAGATCAGCAACAGACATTAATAAAACATAGGAAAAGTACTAGGTGAAAGAAATAAGAGTAGGTGCCCATCAATACCTAGGCAGCCCCCTCAAAGTTAACCTCTTACAGAAAGACTTAGTAATTTTTTGATTTGGATCTTTATTCAGTAAATACAGGATTGTGAGAAAAGACCCTCAGGCATACATTACAATGCAAATAATGCACTAAAGAACTCCAAAGTCCACTTTCTATAATACAGGTTGTGTATCCCTTATTCAAAATACTTGGGCTCAAAAGTATTTCTGCAGCCGGGCTCGGTGGCTCAGCCTGTAATCCCGCGCCTTTGGGAGGCGGAGGTGAGTGGATTGCCTGAGCCTGCGGGTTCGAGACCTGCCTGGGCAGCAAGAGTTCATCTCTACAATAAATCAAAAAATCAGCTGGGCGTGGTAGCGCATGCCTGTAATTCCAGCTACTTGGAAGGCTGAGGCGGAATGATCGCCGGAGCCCAGCAGGTCGAGGCTGCGGTGGCCGGGAGCAGCCACTGCACTCCGGTCTGGGCGACAGAGCGAGACTCCAACTCAAAAAAAAAAAAAAAATTTCTGCTTTCAAATTTTTCAGATTTTGAAATATCTCTATACCTCTTAGCTGAGCACCTCAAATCCAAAAATTCAAAATCCAAAAAGTTCTAATGAGCATTTCCTTTGAGTGTCATGTTAGCGTTCAAAAGATCTTGAATTCTGGAGCATTCTGAATTTGGGATGCTTAGCCCGTACTCTACGAAATTTAGGAATCTCAGTGATAAAGATTAAGTGAGAAGACAAATTCCAAATTTGAACAGAAATAAAGAAGCTGGCAGTAACTATATCAGGGAGCTTAAAAACTAGTCAGACCTAATTAGGTACCATTACAACAATTGCCTCCTGGTTTCTAGGTAAACAAAACTACTAAACAGCTTTTCAAAGGGATTTAACGGGTTCCCACTACTTTCTAAGGTATTATGACACCTCATTTACCTAATCTCCTATTCAGTACCCACTCTCATTTTAAGATAGAAGGAGAAAGACTGAGGAACAGAAAGGTGCAGTAGCAAGTTAATGCAAGTAGGAACAGAACATAAAGTCAAATCTGAACCATTTGTATAGTACCCAGGCCTGTGTGCAGTAAGTATCTTACCTCGTCGCCCACCTCCACTTCCACCTCCTCTCATAAATTCAGGTCTTCTGGTAGCAAAGGACACTTTAATGATGTTGCCATGGAATTCTTTTCCTGAGGAAAAAAATAAGTTTTGAAGAAACGCTACTCCACACCTCCACCTACTAACAAAATATAAAACTGTCTTGAAAATTTTTCATTTCAAAGGAATAACTGACGTGTCCTCACAGAAATTCAAACATATTGGTGTTTCAAAGAGTCAAGATAACAGTGCTAAAAATGACACAATCTACTGAATAGAGCATATCTGTCACTGTGAGACAGTTACTTCCTATTTAAAAAAAAAGTCAGCCGGGCTCGGTGGCTCAGCCTGTAATCCCGCACCTTTGGGAGGCTGAGGTGAGAGGATTGCTTGAGCCCGTGGGTTCGAGACCTGCCTGGGCAGCGAGACCTCATCTCTACAATAAATAAAAAAATCAGCCGGGTGTGGTAGCGCATGCCTGTAATTCCGGCTACTTGGAAGGCTGAGGCGGAAGGATCGCCGGAGCCCAGCAGGTCAAGGCTGCGGTGGCCGGCAGCGGCCACTTCACTCCAGACTCCAACTCAAAAAAAAAAAAAAAGTCAACTGTATTGGTGTGTGCGATAATTCCAGTTACTCAAGAGGCAAGGCTCACAAGTTCAAGCCCACAAATTCAAGACCAGCCTAGGCAACATAGCAAGACCCGGTCTCCTTTAATAGAAAAAAAAAAAAAGTTAGCTGGGCATGGTGGTGCACACCTGTAGTTCCAGCTAGGTCAAGGCTGTGGTGGCCGTGAGCATGCCACTGCACTCCAGCCTGGGTGACAGAGTGAGACTCCAACTCAAAAATAATAAAAATTTTTTTAAAAAGCCAAAGCACATGTTCATCTGTGTTCACACACACAAAGAAAAAAACCTATATCTAATAATTTTATATGAAAAAAGTCAACGGTAAGTTAATGTGAGATATACACTACTACTTCTGTTTTTTTAAGGAAATGCATGTATATGAACAGGTAACTATATATCCACACATATGTCTGTATATGCACTGCCCACTGTGCTTACAAGGGGAAACAAGACCACTGAAGATCAAAGGTGGAAAAGAAACTTGTATCTCACCATATGCCCTTATAATTTGAAATCTTTTTTACAATGTGCAAGTAGTTTCTTTTAAAACAAGGCCAGGCATGATGGCTCATACCGTGAGCCCAGCACTTTGGGAGGCTGAGGCAAGAGAATTGCTTTAAGCCCAGGAACTCAAGACCAGCTTAGGCAACATAGTGAGACCTTGTCTCTAACCAAAAAAATTCAAAAAAATTAGCTGAGCATGATGGCGTGCACCTGTAGTCCCAGCTACATGAGAGGCTGAGCCTAGGAAGTTGAGGTTACAGTATGTCATATTGTGCCACTGCACTCCAACCTGGGAGACAGACTGAGACCTACTCAAAAATAAAATAATGTGCATACATGGGATTATTATTATTATTATTATTATTATTTTAGTTGGAGTCTCACTCTGTCACCCAGACTGGAGTGCAGTGGCTGCTCCCAGCCACCGCAGCCTCAACCTGCTGGGCTCTGGCGATCCTTCCAAGTAGCTGGAACTATAGGTACACGCTACCACGCCCAGCTAATTTTTGATTTATTGTAGAGATGAGGTCTCACCGAGTTGCCCAGGCAGGTCTCGAATCCGCAGGCTCAGGCAATCCACTCACCTCAGCCTCCCAAAGGCGTGGAATTACAGGCTGAGCCACCGAGCCTGGCTCATACATGGGATTATTTACATACATGCACACATACACAGATTATGCTGTGCAGGGTCTTAGGGACAAGAATTAATCTTTCACTTCATTATTATATAAGAGAACTGATGTATAAGGAAAGATACCCAAGGATTCATTAAAAGGTTATAAATCCAGGAACCTTAGCTCTCCAACCAAAGTCCTAATCATCCTGGCTGGCAACTTCTCATGATGTCACACAGTACGACAAGTACTTTGACATAAGAAACAACTCATAGATCAGTATTCTACAAGCTGTAATAATTATCAGTATTCTACAAGCTGTAATAAGACCTGGTAAGATCTAAGCTATGGATTTAAAAGACTCATAGTCCCTGTAGGCAAAAGTTACAATAATTTCTAACATACCATTAGCCAATGAAATTGCTTTATGATTCACAGAAACTATGAAAGCAGCAGAAAAATACAAAAGAACGGACTAAGCCTTTAAGAGCAAGGTGGAGAGGCCTGACAAATTAGTTCAAAAGAGAATACAGAGATGAGGATAAATAAGGTCAAAATCTCATCTTTGAGATTAGAAAAGAAGAAAGACATAGGTGCAACAACCTTGTAAAAGGAAGGGACCACAAGTGGCTATCAATCCAGCATGGTTAAGTATTCTGGAGATGGTAGAACCAGCCAGTTTTGAGTATAAATCCTGACTCTGCCATTTACTTTGTGATCTTGGAAAATACTTAGCTTCTCTAGGCCTCAGTTTTACTATCTGTAAAATGGGAATAACAGGACATATGTCTCATAGGGTTACTATGAAGATTAAATTGGGTTAATGTGTGTAACACTCTTAAAATAGTGACTGGCTCATAAACCACAGTAAACATGCAGTTAAGTGTCAGTTATTATTAAATTATGGTATAAACTAAGGTGAATTTGTAATAACATGGGAAAATGACTAGGATAAGATGTTAAATGAAAAAAAAAGAGACAAAACTGTATTTGGAGTATACAAATACTTTTTTTTGATATACTTTTTTTTTTTGAGTTGGAGTCTCACTCTGTCGCCCAGGCTGGAGTGCAGTGGCACACTCACGGCCACCCCAGCACTGACCTGCTAGGCTCTGGCGATCATTCTGCCTCAGTCTTCCAAGTAGCCGGAACTACAGGCTACTTGGAAGCATGCTACCACACCCTGCTAATTTTTGATTTATTGGAGTGACAAGGTCTCACCAAGTTGCCCGGGCTGTCTCAAACCCAAGGTCTCCCAAAGTGCTGGGATTACAGGCCGAGCCACTGAGCCTGGCCTTGATATACTTTTTAAAATATTTTAAAAGAATGGAAGAAAAATTAATAAAAAAATATTATCAGTGCCTATCTCTCAGTAGAGGACTATAGATGTTTTCTTCATTTCTTCTGCTTTCCAAATTTCCCCATAAAAGTCTTACTACTTGTAAGTGTGTATTAACTTTATATTTGAAGGAAAACTAACCTAAATTTAAAAATAACATAAAATCGGGCATGGTGTCGCTCACCAATAAGTTCCAACTACTTGGAAGGCTGAGGCAGAAGAATCACCTGAGCCCAGTAGGTTGAGACTGCAGTGGCTGCAAGTGTGCCACTGTACTCCAGCCTAGGCAACAGAGTGAGACTCCAACTCAAAAATAAATAAATAGAGCCGGGCTCGGTGGCTCAGCCTGTAATCCCACGCCTTTGGGAGGCTGAGGTGAGTGGACTGCCTGAGCCCGTGGGTTCGAGACCCACCTGGGCAGCGAGACCTCAACTCTACAATAAATTAAAAAATCAGCTGGGCGTGGTAGCGCATGCCTGTAATTCCGGCTACTGGGAAGGCTGAGGTGGAAGGATCGCAGGAGCCCAGCAGGCGAGGCTGCGGTGGCCAGAAGCGGCCACTGCACTCCAGTCTGGGCGACAGAGTGAGATTCCAACTCTAAATAAATAAATAAATAAAAATAAAAATAATATAAAATCAAAGAAGGGGAAATTACTTATAGGTACAGTGTACATTATTCAAGTGACGGATTCACTAAACACCAGACTTCACCACTATGCAATATATTCATGCGACAAATTGCTTATAGGTACAATGTACATTATTCAAGTGACGGATTCACTAAACGCCAGACTTTACCACTATGCAATATATTCATGCGACATAACTGTACCTGTACCCTTTGATTTACTTAAAAAAAAAAAAAGACCATAAAGTCAATCAGGTCAACTCTCTACATGCAGAAGGCATGATATAAGGAGTTATTCTAGACAAACAAGGATAGAGCTCATCTCATTTCTAATGATACATAAAAATTCTGATGTGAATTACTCTTAGTATCTGCAAAAGTAAACATGAAAATAACCATTGTCTCCTAGAATATGTTTTGACTTCCAGACTAGCAAACATTTATCCGAAGTTCATGATGAAAACCACATGAATAAGGCATACCATCAAACCAGTCAATGGCTGCCTTAGCTGAAGGAGGGTCATCGAATGACACTGTTGCCTCCCCTTTTGGCTTCCCAGTGTCCTTGTCTGTGTAAAGATTTATCATTGGTTTTCCAGTCTTCTTGTTTGTCTGAGGAAAAAACATATCAGTGTTACCATTTTAAATAAGTGATCATGTACTATTTAGATAAAATACTATGCACCCAATATAAAAATCAAGTTATCTATAGGTTTGGACAAGAAAAACTCTCCAAGCTATATTAAGTGAAAGCCAAGCTAAAAAATGATACAGTACACTGTTTTATTTATGTATAATTTCTTTAATCCCACACAAACTAAATGTAGATAATGCTTCACATAACTATATAACCTGTAAAACGTAACACTGGGATTTGACTGGTATGGGGGCAGAAGGCAAGGGAGAATTTGTACTTTATCAAGGCTACGTGAATTTTTTTACATATATCATGTGCAATTTCTTTAAAAAATTGTAACTCCCAAGGGAAAAAAAAGAGTTTAATTCTAAAACAAAGACAAATGCAAACTGATTTTTTTAGCAAGTTACTTAACACTGCTCTAAAGGCTGCTCTCTAGTTAAAGAGATGAAAAATACACGCATAAATAGTTCCCCAGACACCTAAGTGAACAATAAGCAATTACAAAATAACACATTATATCTAAGATAGACATTAAATGCTCCAAAAAGTTGTTGGGTGAGTTTGCATACTGGGAATGCCAAAAAAATACTCATTTTAAGCAATGTTATCTATGTATCACTTTAAGTTCACTGTAATCAGAAGTGTCTGGATGCTGATGGTTACCACTTTGAGCACCTCTTGCAATTACAGAACTCAAATGTGACTTGCAATCATCTTTTAATTTTTAGTTTTTTCTTTTTTAAAATGTGTTTACATTTTTTTGACACCTTCTGAATATTGGCATTTCAGAGTCTATAAAATGTTCTCAGAATCTCCCTTAATTCTCACAATTTTAAGAGTTAGGCAGAAACTACTTTTAAGCCCTAGGATTGACGCTAAAGCACAGGTAGACTGTGGATAGGTAAACACAAGCAAGAAATAAAATCTAGCCAGGTATGGTGGCTCACACCTGTAATCCCAGCACTTTAGGAGGTAAAGGCAAGAGGATTACCTGAGCCCAGGGCTCCGAGACCAGCCTGGGCAACTTGGTGAGACCTCATCTCTACAATAAATCAAAAAATTAGCCAGGTGTGGTGGCATGCGCCTGTAGTTCCAGTTACATGGAAGGCTGAGGCGGAAGGATCACCTGAGCCCAACAAGTAGAGGCTGCAGTGGCCCTGAGTGTGCCACTGCACTCCAGCCTGGGTGACAGAGTGAGACGCCAACTCAAAACAAAGAAAAGAAAAGAAATGATATCTTCATATATTTGGCAAATTTAGCAAAGTCCTACAGATACAGGGTAAGTAAATGCATAACAGAATTTTAAGACAAGCCTTACTCAAGTATATAGGTTTACTATGTTGTCTATGTATCTTAACCAGAATATATTAATAACTATGAGACTTAAGTCATATTTTCACTCACCTTGATAATTCCTATTTGTTTAAAGAACTCCCCCACTTGATCTGTAGACACACCCTCCCCAAGTCCTTGCACAAAGATTGTGTTGTTATCTGAATTATCGGATTCTGAGTCTAAGAGAAAAAAAGTTATGGTTAACTTCACACGGTTCTTGTTTTTACAACACCCTATTCAGTAAGCAAAACCAATAATTTATTGTCCAATATTCAACATTTCTATGACCAAAAGGAAAAAGGATCAATACAAGAATAATCTTATATAAACACGCAAAGTGTTCACAGTAAGTTCTTACAACTAAACTTCAGATAAAGGAGATGAAGTCCACACTATGTGACTACATACAGACCAAGTAAAGATCTTATAAATCTCGTTCTTCAGATGCAGAACTTTAAAGTTCATGAAGAGATAGAAAGAGTTTAAATTAGCATTTTTTTTTTCTGAGTTGGAGTCTTACTCCATCGCCTAAACTGGAGTGCCACAGCACACTCATGGCCACTCCAGCATCAACCTGCTGGGCACTGGCGATACTCCCGCCTCAGTCTTCCAAGTAATCAGAACTACAGGCACACGCTACCATGCCCAGCAAATTTTTGTTTTATTGTAGAGACGAGGTCTCACCAAGTTGCCCAGGCTGATCTTGAACCCATGGGCTTAGGCAATCCACTCACCTCGGCCTCCCAAAGTGCTGGGATTACAGGCTGAGCCATAGAGCCCAGGCTTCTTTTTTTAATTCTTTAGGCTTATCAATATTTTTAAGATTCTCTAAGTAGAAAATTCACCAAATCTGATACTCTGTACTTCTAAGCAAGCCAAGCAGAATTGCTGGTTTCCAATTTATTGCAATAAGCTTTGCATATACCAGATGGTAAAGGCAGCCTTTACACACACCTTACCTTACACACACACTTTTGGATTAGTACAACAAAGTAAGAAAGATGTACAAAAATTCAGTCCATCAAGGGATAATTCAGAAATTGTCATCCATATAGAATACTTTGGCATCTTAACAAAAACAAAAGTTCTGATTTCAATATATATTAAAAAATCTTGGCTCAAATAGATTTCTAATTTCTAAATATAAACTTTCAAAAGGCTCCACAAACAAATCTTAAGCCTTAAATTTCATTAAAAAATAAAAGCCACATAAAATTAGTGGCTCATGTATGAACTCAGGTTTCTTAGGCCCTTAATTAAGCAGACTACCAATCTAATGTGGAATTTTCTTAAGCACAGTTTTTCTACTTCTAATTCCACAATGATACCAATTATTTCATTAAATATGATTTGAAATAATTAAATAATTAATGCTAATTAGCAGTAAAAATTCAAATATGTCTTCAAGTAATAAAAAGTAGAACATGAGAAAGCACAAAGAGCAATTTTCCCCAGCAAACTTCCCCATCAATCCCCCTGGCATTTCTTCAGAAATGAAGCTCCCCAGTTCTGGCAGCACTATCAAATTAAATCTTCCTCCTGTAGTAAGCCCTCCAAACATACACACTTTTCCCTTTAAAAAACAGAAAACTGACATTTTCTTAACTGAAAAGTCACAAGCTACCATAAACCTTACCAGCATCTGGTCTGGGTCCATAATCCCTGTGACCTAAGGGAAAACAAAAGAAAAAAAAAAAAAAAAGCTATTTAAGGCAACTCATTTGAAATCATAAAAAATAGTAATAATAACCAAGGCATGAAAAGCCAATACTTCCAAAATCCTTGAAAGTCAACCATCACAGATTTACAAAGTAAATATATAAATTAAGTTCTATAAAAAAGTTTAAGAAATCAAGATGAATGTCAACATTTCCTTTAACTTGTCCTAGATGACACCTGCCGCTTTAGCATTATGCTAGTATCTAGTATCACTTTTTTTAAGTTCTGGTTGTGAAGGCTGATTGAACAACCCTAATATTTTTTAAGCACCACATCAGCTACCTTTATAAAAAAAAACATACTGTCAAAATCCAGTGAAGGTCTCATTTACTGGTCATCACAGACTCTCATGCAAATTCACTGTGTAGAAACCGATTGGATTGTCTTGAGATCAACTTTGGCTTTTTAATGTTTACTTTGTGATATATATGTGCATATATAGATAATTTTTTTAAAAAACACACAACACACACCAACCTCAACAGAGTAAGAAAGGGCTTTGACTACGTCTGCGGGATATTGGTGGCTTTTAGATTTATATAGCATTTCCACTGAAATATTTTGGGATACTCAGCACTTACCACCAAAATTTTTGAAGCCACCGCGGTCACCACCACTGCAGAGGAAAAATTGAAGAAATGATTTCTTCCTTAAGTCTCTAATGTGCTGAGCCCTGGGCTCAATCTACACTTAACTGTCACAAGTAGAGTGCCTAGGAAAACAGTAGCACCTCTAACTTTCCAGTAAATTCCATTTCACAAGACGTCAAAATGCTGTTTCCATCTAAGTGTTTTCCCAAGAATCTATTTCCACAAAGATGCCTTTTCAAGCTTATAACATAATATGCTCTTATTTTTTAAATCTTCCCAACCCCAAGCCAAAGAAACACTATTCAAACTATAAATCTGGAGGCACAGCATGAAGAATGCTAAATGAAATCAAGTATTCTTTCCAAAGAGATATTTTTTTAAATACAAGAAAAAGAAAAAAGACTAGAAAATACAAAGAAAGATTAAGATTTTGATAGTAGAATGGGACAAGTAAAAATTTGAGTATTAGGTTCTACTGTAATATCAAATAGTGGATTTTATGAGATGAATAAAAAAAGTGAGATACAAATATACACAAATGAAAGTAGTCTTAAAATTTCAAATCATTTTTAAAAACTGATAAAATGAGGACTAAAAAAAGCATAACTTAAAAACTGCCTTCCTATTTCATACCCACTATAATATACCAGCTCTCTACACATCAGGGCTACTGAGGTTCATGCTGCCAAATGCTCCATACACCAATCAGTAGCACACATCGGAAACAATGCAACATACTCCAATATTGCAGCTGCCCACAAGACAACAACTTTATCTGGCAAATTACCGCTGCCAGGTAAGTCAATGTTCCTTGTAAACACAGCTTTATGTAAAATATAAGATCTCTCTCATCTTATTCAAGCATGTTTCCCTTGAATAAATTACATAATCCTCTAAGATTCCCATGCTGACATGGAAATAAAAACACTCAAAGTTTTCAGACGGTTATATCTACTACTAATAATCTTATTCTATTATAATGCAAGAAGGTATCCAATATACAAAAACCTCTCACTGTTTAAAAACCTCCGATTTGATGATTACCCTGCCGTATAGATGGTTTTTATGAGCCACTCTGAGAAAAAGCAATCTAAATGACAAAGCATTCTCCCTTATTAATTAATTCATTCTACCACACCCTGATGTAAAAATATTTCCCCTTACAACTGACTTAGATAGAGACACATGCATTTTAATTTGTTTCCAGTTTTTCTATGATTTCCAGGAAGCCTCCTTTTAAAGCAGGAGACTAAGGTTATTTCAAAGCTATACAGACAATATAAAACTCAAACCCTTCGTATACATAGTTTGCTACTGAATTTCTAAGACCCCTACTTCAGAACAGTACCCAAGCCCTCCTGACACACACACACACACACACACACACACACACACACACACACACACACACAGCTTAACTTTTTTAGAAAGGGGAATCCAACAGGAATGAGATTTAACTGTTGAAATATTATTATTAGAAACCAAGATACGTAGATTTCTTAACTACTCTAAAAACAGAGGAGAGAAAAGAACTAGTGAAAATATTAAGTACCCAATCTTATGTCAGGAGGTTTAAGTTCTCAGGATAGACTTTAATTTTTAGGGGTTTTTTCCCTTCTTTTTTTGGACTGACTTTTAAAATAGGAAACTGAAGGCCACTGTGTTCACAAGGAAATACAAGAAAAGGTATCTATCTCTTTATTGTCATCTTAAGGGAGTACCAAAATTGCTTATCTGGCTATACTGGATGGAAAACAGGCAATTTCATTACATTGGCTAGTTCCTATAATTTTTATTCTGGTCAGAAATATAACTTTAAACAATAAAAAAAGGACATACCCCCTGCAAAAAAAAGCAATATAAAACAAATGACATTTGAATAGGTTTAGAATTTCCTAGTCTTCCATATAGCATTTTAATTTGTCATCTTTACTGAGCATTTCCTTTGAAAATAAAGTATCTGAAGATTTCAACACATGGCCATAAATATGGAAATACCATAGTATACTGGCAAAAAGAACTAGGCTTCAAACCAAGAGACTCAAGGTATAGTCTTAATTATCACTAATCCATCTTTGATAACCCTTTGTACTCCGAGACAACTCACAGATCACCTAGGAGCAACTCAACCACACTTTTTTTACAAAATAGTAAAAAACGAATCACTTCATATTAAATAGTATAGTTTTGGAACTAATTATTTTATTGTAATGATATTTGGCTTATAATGGAATTTCAGATATTGAGAACTTATTTATGAGCAAAAATATAATTTTATGTTACGTTTTTCTTTTCTTTTTCTTTTTTTTTTTGAGTCAGAGTCTCACTGTCACCCAGGATGTAGTGCAGTGGTACAGCATGCTCACAGCCATCACCTGCTGGACTCAGGTGATCCTTCCACCTCAGCCTTCCCAGTACCTGGAACTACAGGTGCGCGCCACCATGTCCAGCTAATTTTTTTGATTTATTGTAGACGAGGTTTTGCCAAGTTTCCCCGGTTGGTCTCGAACTCCTGGGCTCAGGCAATCCTCTCGCCTCCGCCTCCCAAAGTGCTGGGATTACAGGCATGAGCCACCACACCCGGCTATATGCTATATTTTTCCAAAGTGTGATAACATGTGAAACAGTCACTGACACACATTGCAGGTTCATACAACAGTGCAATAGTAATTTGTTTGATGTCTTCCACCTGGTGCTTTCTTATTCAAGCAGACAATACAGTCTCTTGTTTTATTCCTCCCACATTAATAATATGTAATTTATCATCCAGTCATTGTTGGAAGACAACGTGGAAGACATCCTCTTTCTGTGTAACACCAGTTGTTTTGTTTTTACATGTATCTCAGTATTCCATCTCTTTATTTGCTTTTTCATGCAATCTGAATGGAAAACTTCAAGGAAATGTACATTTTTGAAAAATCTGTGTTGGCGTAAGTTTGTCCTATATAATCACCAGCAATCTCTTTATGTCCCCTGAGAGGAGACATCCGAGTGCAAAGGGTTAAAATTTGGACATGTCAGTAATTTTCACCAGTCATTAGAATCCTTCACAAAATAAGGGGCTGCATCCTTACTATTCAAAAAATGATGCAACACCAGCATAAGCGAAGCATGGGAGTGTCTCAGAAAAGCAGGATCTCAGGTCTCACCCCAGAGCTACTGAATCAGAATCTGCATTTTAATAAGATTCCCTCAAGTAATTTATATGTACATTAAAATCTGAGAAGCACTGGTTTAGAAGTCTATAATTTTATGTGAAGTTTTATTTCAAATTTAAATGTTTCATTCATTTTCCCTCTCCTCATTAGGAAATTACATATTAATTAGCCATATTACAATTCTTTATTAGAAAATTTATTAAATACAATAAATAAACTTCAAGAGAACTCACTATTAGATAGTAAGAGAAGATGTATCTGAGATTAATAATCTTTCAAACCTGCAGTACAGTTACAAGCCCCTTTTCCACATATTAACACAAATTAAGACACAAAAGTACTTGAATAATTATGAGTCAAGATATCGACAAGCCAGGCTCGGTGGCTCAGCCTGTAATCCCGCGCCTTTGGGAGGCTGAGGTGAGTGGACTGCCTGAGCCCGCGGGTTTGAGACCCGCCTGGGCAGGCGAGACCTCATCTCTACAATAAATAAAAAAAAATTAGCCGGGCATGGTAGCGCGCGCCTATAATTCCAGCTACTCAGAAGGCTGAGGCGGAAGGATCCCCGGAGCCCAGCAGGTCGAGGCTAGGGTGGCCAGGAGCAGCCACTGCACTCGAGTCTGGACGACAGAGTGAGACTCCAACTCAAAAAACAAAAAAAAGATATCAACACAACAAATTTTCATTCCCAGAAAAAGCAATAACATGTATACATAAAAAATGCCCAAAATAAGGACATTTTAAGGTAAAGTAGGAAAGATATTTAACAGAGACATGATATAATCACATACAACTTTATTTGCTGAGTACCCTTTGCATAAGAAATCTAGCTGCATACTCTTTTTTTCTTTTTGAGATAGGGTCTTGCTATGTTGCCCAGGTTGGTCTCAAATTCCTGAGTTCAAACAATCCTCCCATCTCAACTTCCCAAGTAGCTGGGACTACAGGTATGCCACCGTACCAGCTAGATGCATATTTTGACCTAAAAATGGAGATGGTTCTCCAAAGTTCAAAACTGCAGTGAGCAGTCTACGTCTAGGGCAGACTCCAAAGATTCTTCCACTATTACAAACAGCATTACGTATTTAGAGGAGAAAACATTCAATTTTAGATGCTTGTCAGAAAAGAAAAAGTTACTTGACAGAATCTTCTCTTAATCTTTAATTTAAAAAAATCAAAACATATCCATTTAAGAATGAAAACTGTCAAGAAGTAAAAGAACAATGCAGGAATCTTTATTACTAGCATATTTCAGTATCTAGAGAGAAAAAGGGACTCAGCTAAAAATTGAAAAAGATTTGTTTAAAAACCTGTGCTGTCAGGCATGGTGGTTCAAGCCTGTAATTCCAGCACTTTGGGAGGCCAAGGCAAGAGGACTGCCTGAGACCAGGGGTTCAAGACCAGCCTGGGCAACTTGGCAAGACATTGTCTCCATAATAAATCAAAAAATTAGCTGGGCGTGGTGGTGCACATCTGTAATTCCAGCTACTGGAAGGCTGAGGCGGAAGGACCGACTGAGCATAGCAGGTCAAGGCTACAGTGGCCATGAGTGTGCCACTGTACTCCAGCGTGGGAGACAGAGTGAGACCCTGATTCATTCATTCAATCAACCAACCAATCAATACCTGTACTGTGCTTGGGTTTTCATACTAGTAAATCCAGAATACAATTTTGGGGTATGAGGAAAAGAATATTAATTCTAAATGTAAATAAATCACTGGATTTAATGATATCATTCTTGATATCTGTATTTGTATTTTATTTCCTCCCATGCCTTACATGTATGGTAAAAAGGTTTTCTGGATTCTGCATTTATCAACATTTCAGGAGACCAAGAATCTGTCACTCTAGAACAACTGTCCAATACAATATTCACTAGCTACATGCGGCCTTTGAGCACTTAAAATGTGGTTAGTCTAAATTGAGATGAATTCTACACATAAAATACAAAATGGATTTCTAAGTTTTCATATAAAAAAGAATGTACTATATGTATGTATATATATACATAAACCTCTGAAGAGGTGGGAAAAAAAAGAATTTGATGGGGCCCTGCTGCTGCCCAGCTGGAGTGTGGTGGCATGATCATAACTTACTGTAGCCTGGAACTCCTGAGCTCAAGTGATCCTCCCACCTCAGCCTCCCAAGTAGCTAAAACTGTAAGAATATGCCACCATGCCCAGCGAAAACAATGTTTTATATTGAATTATAGAATAAAATCATATTTTGAATATATTGGGCTAAATAAAATATATTATTAAAATTCATTTCACCAGTTTATTTGTTTTCTTTTTAATGTGGCCACTAAAAAATTTAAAATTAACTATATGGCTCACATTTGTGATCCACATTACATTTCTATTAGGCAATCTGTTCTGGATTGTCACCAGATTACATGCACATTTTAAAGGGAGCTGATTAAATACTCTTGTAAAAGGGAAAAGTCACTCAAAATTCAGGATAACTTCAGGCTCAACTCATTAAAACCTAAAATAGCTACTTAATTTGTTAACATACTAATGAAAAACAATTATTTATTAATAATGAAAAACAAAAGTCTTGGCAATTTTGCAAAGTAATAATCACAATGCTAAAATTTAAAACCATTGGAAGAATTTATGTCCTTAGCTTCTAGTCTACTAAGATGTCAATGTCAATTTTAGACAATAAAAAAAGTCAATCCTTTCGCAACAATCACTTTTTCAAGTAAAAACAATATGTTTCTTCACACATCTCTCTTTAAAAAGATGATGGCAGGCCAGATACAGAGGTTCACGCCTGTAATCCCAGCACTTTGGGAGGCTGAGTAAAAGGATTGCCTGAGCTCAGGAGTTCAAGACCAGCCTGGGCAACAGGAGTTCAAGACCAGCCTGGGCAACGTAGCGAAACCTTGTCTCTACAATAAATAAGTAATTAGCTGGGCACGGTAGCATGTGCCTATAGTCCTAGCTACTTGGAAGGCTGAGGCAGAAGAATCACCTGAATCTAGTAAATGAAGGCTGCAGTAGTTGCAGTTGTGCCACTGCACTCTAGCTGGGTGACAGACTGAGACTCTGACTCAAAAAAAAAAAAAAAAAAAGACAACGGGTTCCTTTTGGTCTGAATGGTTCCTCCAGCCAAGCAATCATACAATCATAAGACTAAGAATGCCCTGTCCTTTAACACACATACAACCCTCACCCACAAACTATGCCCATTCTTTAAAAATAAATCCAACTAAAATAAATCCAACTAAAGCATATATTCTTCAAACAGCCCCATTTTCAGCCTTGCTATTTTTAAGTAAGATGATAAGAAACACAAATGGGAGTGTTGATGAAGACTAATGTAAAATGTTTGGGTACTTGAATACTTAAATGCAAAATCAAGTAGGAAAAAATTTAACTAGGCATTTATATTCAAATCCAAAATGCTTTACGCCAATAAATAAGCAAAAGAGCATTATCTTGAACAAGATGCTGTGACACATTAAAATTATACGAACTTCTAATTTCAGTATCCACAAATGATGTCTTATTGGAACACAACCATGCTTATTCCTTTACGTGTCATTTATGGCTGCTCAGGTGCTCCAAGGGCAGGGTTGAATAGTGACAACAAAAACCAACTGGTCTGCAAAGCCTAAAACACTTACTGTCTGGTCTTTCACATAAAAAGTCTGCAAAGCTAACACAGAAAGTAATCATCATCCATATAGATTTCTTAAAAAGTCCTTTCTGAACATCTCATTTATTGACAGGGTGGGGAGTAGGGCAAGACTGCAGAGCCCTTTCTCACCCAATCTTAACCCCAACAAACCAGATCAGCATTATTTTAACCAACTATATATTGGGCTTCCGCATAAGATTTTGTATGAAGGGGTTCTACAGGAAGATAAAAAACTTAATTCACGAATCGTAACTGGGCTATAAATTACACTGAAATATATTGCTAAGGAGGTTACGAAAGTACTTAAAAGTTGGACCTGAGAGTCGGTTAAGGTATTCCTTCCCTTCTTTATCAGGAGGACCATTCACAAGATCCTATCAACCCTCTGGTTGTAAGATGAGTCATCTCTCACAGATGAAAACATATTTATAAAGATTTCCATAGCCAGTACATATCCTCTTCCTCCCGAAAAGTGGGATTCCACCATTCTCAGACATTGTCATAGTTTAGTAGATGGTAATCATTAGGACATAACTTCCTTACAAAGAAAATAAACCTATGATGTACTATAAAACATGTAGTATTCCAATGCAGGCAATTATTTAAAACATTAACTGAGGCCGGGCTCGGTGGCTCAGCCTGTAATCCCAGCACTTTGGGAGGCCGAGGTGAGTGGACTGCCTGAGCCCGCGGGTTCGAGACCTGCCTGGGCAACTTGACAAGACCTCATCTCTACAATAAATCAAAAATTAGCCGGGCGTGGTAACGCGCGCCTGTAGTTCCAGCTACTGAAGGCTGAGGCAGAAGGATCGCCGCAGCCCAGCAGGTCGAGGCTGCAGTGGCCGGGAGCAGCCATTGCACTCCAGTCTGGGTGACAGAGTAAGACTCCAACTCATAAAAAAAAAAATTAACTGGAAAATTAAATATACCTGTTGGTTATCTTGTTTGGGATTCTGTTTTAGGTAGGAAGGAGGCTATTAGGTAAAAAATAAGTGCCATGTCACTTTACATTGTTCACTTGTATCCACATGATGGCAGACTGCTCGCTTTGATAATGAAGAGGTACACAATACATTTGTTTTACCTTGGTAAATTGACTTTGACTATCAATCAAAAGATTTAATGTCCAAGTCTTATAAAATTTTTCAAAAATGTTTAGACTTTAGTTTTTCTATAATATTAAAGCATTGTGCACTAAAAATAGAGAAATACAAGTCAGAGAAATCAAATTCCTGGGTCACTTGAAAAAATAACATTTTGTATGCAACTGGTTGTTTCTCAGGTCACCTCAAGGGACAGACACTCAGTCCCTAAGAGCAAAAGACTGAACTGGTACTGATACGTTATTAAGTAGCAGTAACAGACCACTGACAATCTCAATTTCAAAGATCATAAATTACCTTTAAGCCTGGGTATTTACACATAATTTGTAACTGTAAACTTCATCTGAGGACAGATGTCAACTACTTTTTCATCCTTGCTTTTAAAGCCAAAGTGCTAAACTTTCAGATATATCCGAAAGTAATTTTAAAACCAACTTCATAACATTTGCTATAAGTAAATACAAAAATCTGATAACACCAGCAACGGGAAAAAGAAAAACCGAATTAAAAAGTCATTTTTTTTTACCATTGCTTAGTCCAGATAAAATACACAATGGTATGTAACGTTACACTAATTATTTTAATAATTATTTACTTAAGGAGGGGGACAAAATAGTTCAGTTACATTAAATCCTTCTCTTAATTGCTAACTCTACCTTTTATACTCTACTACTGCCTCCTAATACTTTTCCTTCCCAAAGGGATTCAAGATTAAGGAACAGTCTCTGCTCTTCAATCTACAGTTAACTTACCTTTTATTTTTACACACAACACTTGGATTTTCCAGAGTCACTCTTTAAAGGAGTTTAGATTCTAGCTCTGGCAGGAAAACAGTCAAGTGGTTTAACCACAACCACACTTGTTTCTCTACTGGTGTTTAACATACACCATATAAACTAATTGCTAACATAGCCTACTCTAAGGTAATTTATGTGATATCTTAAGATTTAAAATAAAATTTTAATTTCTGCCCTTTTCTCTATAACATAATCTCTTTTTTAAGTTTCTCAACTAAATCAAATGCTGGAATTGAACCAGCTAAGTAACACCCCCCCCCCAAAAAAAAGAGAGAGAGAGAGAAAGAGAAATGTAGGCATCTAAATCTAAATACTTACCTTGATCCTGTCATAGGACCTCTTCCGTCCTTGTCATATCCCCCACGCCCTCTACCTCCTCCCTGTGACCCGCCATATCCTCTATTATCTTCTCCATACCTACTCACATCACGACGGTCATCTACAAAAAGAAAAATATTACATAGATAAATAACTACTGTCATTTCTGACTTAGGCTTCACATAACATATTCTTAAATGACTCTTTAGGTCACACATTATACAGAGAGGGTGCCAAAAAAATGTATATACATTTTAAGAAAGGAAAAAACTGTATTAAAATTGTGGCTGAATAAAAGTCACCTTTACAAGAGGTGCTCAAAGTGGTTACCATCAGCATCCAGACACTTCTGATATGGCGAACTAAAAGTCATACATAGACAACATCACTTAAAATGTTTATACATGTTCTTACTCTACCTCCTGCAGTTGCTTTGGGCATGGAGGAAATTTATGCAAAGTTTGTGTCTCAGAAAATCAGCAAAACCCGCTGGCGACCGGTGCCCTCAGGGAGCCTACAGACCGCGGAGACGTTCGCTACAGGTTCTTGGGACAATGAGGAAAACTATGTTTCGCTGTGGTCTATTGGAGATTTTGGAAACTTGGACTCTGATGGAGGATTTGAAGGAGACCATCAATTATTGTGTGATATCAGACACCATGGTGATGTAATGGATTTACAGTTTTTTGACCAAGAAAGGATTGTAGCTGCTTCATCAACAGGAAGCGTAACAGTTTTTCTTCACCATCCGAATAACCAGACTTTGTCAGTCAACCAGCAGTGGACAGCAGCTCACTACCACACAGGTCCAGGCAGTCCTTCCTATAGCAGTGCACCATGCACAGGTATTGTATGCAGCAACCCAGAAATTGTCACTGTTGGAGAAGATGGTCGAATAAATTTCTTCAGAGCAGATCACAAGGAAGCTCTAAGAACTATAGACAATGCAGATAGCAGTACACTCCATGCTGTAACCTTCCTTCGAACTCCTGAGATTCTTACAGTAAATTCAATTGGACAGTTAAAAATATGGGATTTCAGACAACAAGGAAATGAGCCTTCTCAGATATTGTCACTGACTGGTGATCGAGTGCCACTTCACTGTGTTGATAGACATCCTAACCAACAGCATGTTGTAGCTACCGGTGGCCAGGATGGAATGTTGAGTATTTGGGATGTTAGACAAGGTACTATGCCTGTATCTCTGCTGAAGGCTCATGAAGCTGAAATGTGGGAAGTTCACTTTCACCCATCCAACCCAGATCATCTCTTTACTTGTTCTGAAGATGGATCCCTCTGGCACTGGGATGCCTCCACAGATGTACCTGAAAAGTCATCACTGTTTCACCAAGGAGGAAGAACTAGCACTTTTTTGTCTCATAGCATTAGTAACCAAGCTAATGTTCACCAGTCTCTTATAAGTTCCTGGCTCAGCACTGATCCTGCAAAAGACCGTATTGAAATCACAAGTTTGCTTCCCAATAAGACTTTGTCCGTGAACAGTTTGGATGTTTTAGGTCCTTGTCTTGTTTGTGGAACTGATGCAGAAGCAATTTATGTTACTAGACAACTTTTTTCATGAAAGTACTGTCATCATAAGATTTCATGTAAAACAATTAACCCTTTGAATTCCAACTTCTATGCAAAATTTTATTATCAGAAAATGTGAAATTTGCAAGGAAAACATCAATAAACTACTGTCAATGAAAAAAAAAAAAAAAAAAAAATGTTTATACATTTTTGGCAGCCCCTAGTACATCCTTATAGAAAACAGCACATGTGCACAGAAGTCAAATCCAAATTATCATAAAACCATCTGGAATTAAATGTTTGAGAAATGTATGTGTCAAATTCCATTCTGCTAAAGTCAGACAGGAAACTAGTGATGTGGAATAGTTTGAGTTAACACAACCTCCAGTACAAGAATCCTATTACCTTAGATGAAAAGCACAACCCTAATCTTAAAAGTTATTACTTTCTTTACCTCAGTAGCATTTAAATGTAAATCAAGCATGGAAAGGAATAACTGGATTTTCAAACTCCAAGAAGATATTCAGTAAATGAGCTTTCACTTTTACTCAATCACTTATTCATTTATTCAATTATTCAACAAAGGTTTATTTATTTAGCACTTACTATGAACCAAGACACATACAGGTCTCAAAGGTACAAAAATGATTAAGACAGAACCTTTGCCCTGGAAGCATTCGCTTTCATGACATAGACAGATTCCTAAACATCAGAGGTATATACAAAGTACTATGGGAAAACAAGAGGAAATAATGACTGGCTCTTCTTACATAAGCCAGAGAAGGCTAATAGGACAGCTTCCCCAAATCAAGTACACTACCATCACAAGAACTGGTACTATGAGCATTGTCGAATGATCACAGTTCAGTGAAATGATAAAGGAAATTCACATAATAAGCTGTCAAAAGTCGTATGACCATTTGGGAGTTTCCAAGTTCAGAAACAGAATCTAATAAAGTAGTTTTGATGATCATGAGGAATAGCATGTTCAAAGTCACCCTAAATTTTTACAAACATATGAAATCCAATGTGAAGTCTTTTAATCTACAATGCAATATACAGGGGGAAAAAACAGAGGTCAGTATATCTTACCTTGTGTATGGTGGCTGTAATTTTCCCTTTGTGAATGATAGGACTGCTGGTTTTGATTATAGGAATCATGCTGCTGATCATAATTTGACTGCTTGTCATATGAGCCTGGATGTTGATCATAGCCTGACTGCTGGTCATATGAATCTTGTTGACCATAGTCTGACTGGTCATAGGAAGGTGCTCTTCCACCTTGGCTAAACAGAAATTAAGAACTTAAGAGACTTCATAGAATTATGTTGACTATATCAAGTTGACCGAGACTGATAATAAAAGCCTGACCAACTAGTTCTCAAATGTATTTACTACTACTTTCCTCATGGTAATTATTTAGCTCTTTGATCTACAAAGTCTCCTTAACACCAAAGGAGTGCCCTTCAAAAGACAACTTCACCATCACTTAAGAGATACCTTATTATGAAAAAAACCTTTGAAAACTGCAGTAAAGCAAAAAATAACTGTAATTTTTACTATCTCCTTTAATTTTTTAAAAAATGCTACAAAGTATACTAATATGTCTGATTCTTTGATAAACATGCCACTAGTGCTGAGTTCTTTTGACAGTTACACTAAAAAGCTCCATATAACTTAAACAATGTCGTCTCTTAAAATATTTTTAGAACGATTCTATCTTTAGAACCTATAGTACATTCTTCTAAACATCTTCAATGATAATAAATTTTAGAAAACAGTAAAGGAACTTGTTTTGTAATGCCACTTTTTATCTGAAGAGAATTCTCACTACAAGTAATGACTGTTTTCTTACTTTGGGCAATTCAAAAGGAAAATTCTAAGTATGTTCTGAGCAATTTGACTGCATTAATTATCTGTTCTCAGAGTGGGAATGTTAAAAGGCAACACTTAATTAGAACTGAGTTCCAACAGACTTACTTTAAAAAGGGGGGACAACAAAAATGATCTCATAATAGTCACATCTTATTTTCTATCAGAGGACCAGAACAATCTAATATAACAAAGATCAGTATGTTACCCAACTCTCTACCAAAAGCACAACATAAGCATGGTCCAAATCCTAGCAGTTTATTTATTTATTTTTGAGTCAGAGTCTCACTCTGTCGCCCAAGCTGGAGTACAGTGGCATGCTCACGGTCACCGCAGCCTCGACCTGCTGTGCTCAAGCGATCTTCTGCTTCAGCCTCACAAGTAGCTGGAACTACAGGCATGTGCCACCACACCCAGTTAATTTTTTGGTTTATTGTAGAGATGAGGTCTCGCCAAGTTGCTGTTCTCGAACCGACAGGCTCAGACAATCCTCTCACCTCGGCCTCCCAAAGTGCTGGGATTACAGGCATGAGCCACCACGCCTGGCACTTTACTTTAAAATGGTTGTCAGCCGACTCAGTGGCTCAGCCTGTAATCCTGCGCTTTGGGAGGCTGAGGTGAGTGGATTGCCTGAGCCCACGGGTTCAACACCCGCCTGGGCAACTTGGAGAGACCTCTTCTCTACAACAGAGATAAACAGAGCCAGGCATGGTAGCACGTGCCTGTAATTCTGGCTACTTGGAAGCTGAGGCAGAAGGATCGCCGGAGCCCAGCAGATCGAGGCTGCAGTGGCCGGGAGCAGCCACTGCACTCCAGTCTGGGTGACAGAGTGAGACTCTAACTCAAAAAATAAAAAATAAAAAAATAAAATAAAATAAAATAAAATGGTTGTTAAGCCAAACCTAGTATTTTTCTTTGTTCTACATTTATGTCATGCTTCAAAAATACATCCTTTATGAAAAGATTCTCCTTAAATTTAAAGCTAACCAGCCAGGCTCAGTGGCTCAGCCTATAATCCCACACCTTTGGGAGGCTGAGGTGAGTAGACTGCCTGAGACCGCGGGTTCAAGACCCGCCTGGGCAACTTGGCAAGACCTCATCTCTACGATAAATCAAAAAATTAGCCGGGCGTGGTAGCGTGTGCCTGTAATTCCAGCTACTTGGAAGGCTGAGGCAGAAGGATCGCCGGAGCCCAGCAGGTGGAGCCCAGCTGCGGTGGCCGGGAGCAGCTACTGCCCTCCAGTCTGGGCGACAGAGTGAGACTCCAACTCAAAAAAAAAAAAAAAAAAAAAATGTAAAGCTAACCAACAGGGCTTGAAGAGTTATTTCTCCTAATGAAGCATTCCTTTTGGCCATTATTCCCTATATTTGTTTCTACTTTCAAAGCACTCTCATATCTGTAAGACTTAGAATTTGACCTTATCTTTCCTCAATGCATTTATTTAGTTACATTTCAATTAGAATAATTTTTATCACTGTGAAGACCCGAGACCTCAGTATCTGCCTCAAATTTTAGCTGTATAACTTGATAGGCTGGATAATCTTTTCTTTAATTTTGTAAAATGGGAATAATTACTGATACTATCTCATACTGGTGTCTGAAGATCAATTACATTAGAGAATGCCAAAGTATTTTGCAAAAGGTAAAGCACAATTTTTAAAAGTTGCTATTATTAAAAATTAAGTACAGGCTTTCAAATCTGAAAATGTAAAAAACTTTATAAAATCTATAAACTTAGCCGGGCTCGGTGGCTCAGCCTGTAATCCCGCGCCTTTGGGAGGCTGAGGTGAGTGGATTGCCTGAGCCCGCGGGTTCGAGACCCGCCTGAGCAGGCGAGACCTCATCTCTACAATAAATCAAAAAATCAGCCGGGCATGGTAGTGCGTGCCTGTAATTCTGGCTATTTGGAAGGCTGAGGCGGAAGGATCGCCGGAGCCCAGCAGGCGAGGCTGCTGTGGCCGGGAGCGGCCACTGCACTCCAGTCTGGGCAACCGAGTGAGACTCCAACTCAAAAAAAAAAAAAAAAAAAAATCTATAAACTTGATGGCAAATACTCACCTGCCTATATCAACAAATAAAACATATTTTAGGGTATCTGATATATGTGGATACATTTTGGTACTTTTTAAAATTAATACTTTTATCTCTGGAAAGGCAATATATTCAAATGGTTCAAAAATGAAACAAATTAAAAAGTAGATATTGAGAAATCTCATTCCATAGGTATGTTTTTGTTCATCTCAGGTACAAAACAGAGATCCAAATCTTTTTTTTTTTTTTTTTTAAGTTGGAGTCTCACTCTGTCGCCCAGACTGGAGTGCAGTGGCCGCTCCCAGCCACTGCAGCCTCGACCTGCTGAGCTCTGATGATCCTTCCACCTCAGCCTTCCAAGTAGCCGGAATTACAGGCATGCGCTACCACACCCGGCTGATTTTTTTTGCAGAGATGAGGTCTCGCTGCCCAGGCGGGTCTCGAACCTGCGGGCTCAGGCAACCCACTCACCTCAGCCTTTCAAAGGCACGGGATTACAGGCTGAGCCACCGAGCCCGGCTAGGTCCAAATCTTTCTGATGCTTAAACCATGTACATTAATTTATAGCTAAACAATGATTTTACAAATAACATAAGACTCAAATAAGAATGCTGTCTATTCTACATTCTCCATTATAAAAAATTGTAAAATGCACACTCCATTAAAACTTTTCTTAAAAAAAAAAAAGTTTAAAGCTAGAATTTTGTTGGTGAAATCTGTTTAATACTCAGTGATATTTCCACTGTTCAAAACATTCTTGGCACTTTACTGTTTCCTTACCCTCCTGATGATTCCATGTTTTGTTGTCCCTGGTTATTATATGATTGCTGGCCATATGAGCTCTGCTTTTGATTCTCATAACCACCGTAGGACTGTGAATAACCTAAAGATTGGATGGGGATACCATTTAGTGAAGGCTCTGAATTTTCAATCTCTAAAACAGCAAATTTAACAAACTAGTCCAACCTGACTGGCTTTGTCCATAACTGGAGTAACCGCTGTAGTTCTGTCCATATGAGGAATCTGTTGTTTGCCCATAGCCAGAATAGCTCTGAAATTTAGGCAAATACTCAAGTTTCATCACCTACTTAAGGATTTTTAAAAACTATTTATGAAGAACACAATTTATATTCAACCTACTTGTGGTGTTTGTCCATAGCCTTGGTTGCCTTGATTTCCATAAGAGGAATAACTGTAAAAGAAAAATGTAATACTTGAAAGAAATGTGCTAAAATATAAACGCTTAAATGAAGAACTAGCCTTCATTTTCAACTCTCAACTCAAATACAAGCTTCTTTTCTGAGAAACTGTCAATCCGCCTGTCTCTTAGCACGTAAATTGAAAGGTGATGCCAAAGACATAAATGAAGCTACTTCCAGATCTCCTGAATGTCAAACAAATACTAAAGGTTTTGCTTTGACAATCTCCCACAATCAGTAAAAATTCACCAGAGCTAGAAAATTCTGAGAGAATTATGCTTGGGGATGGGAGGAATAAAAAAATCCATGGCAAGACCCATAATAAACATTTGAAGCATTATGACTTTTCAGGTTAGCACTTTACTCAATTTAACTACATTTTAACAGATTAATCTCCTCCTACCATTTGCTTCAGTTAAACATCTGTTAACTTACCAGAAAAGGCACAGGGTGGCACTAAAAGTCCAGTATAAATGCCTCAATAATTAGAGGCATATATATCTCCAGAGTACTATCACAGAATGAAACTATATTGTATTACCAGTGTTGTAGTGGAGCCGGGCACTTACCTCAATAAATGCTTGCTAACTGACCTAGGACTCAAATTTTCTTTAATTTTATAGTATTTAAGCTCCAAGAGGTCAGAAACAAACTTTCTGAATATGTACTATGACTTTCTAATACTCAAAGAAAAATAAAGCATCTGCCCCCCCCCCAAAAAAAACCTTATTACTGTAGAGCTGTCAAGTGTTAACAGAATTTCTTAACTTTTAAAACTGTGTATTTCATTGAATAAACATTTGCTAAATGCCTACTGGGAGGTTAGTACTATCTTATGAGAATAAAAAAGTCAAATCAATTTTGTTTTCAGGAAGTTTAACAATTGACCACAGTGGATATTTCAGATGTTATTCTAAATATCTCACACTGAGCTGTAAAACATTTATGACATGAGTTGAAGGATGTATTTCTGGTAAGCAAGAGAAGCCTACTGCATATATATATATATATATATATATATATATATATATTCACATAAAAATAGAGCTTTCTTTTTACTGTGAGCATGGTTAGGATTCTAAAAATGCTAAACATTTATATTATGGTACTTCAAATAAATGTGCTCTGAAAAAAACACACTAGTATATTATATACCACCAAAAAATGAAACTTTTTCTAAAAAACTGTTAAGAGTTCAATTGCTTAAATTCTTTTTTTCTTTTTTTGAGACAGGATCTCATTCTGCCACTCAGACTAGAGTGCAACTGCATGATCATAGCTCACTGTAACTCCTGAGCTCCTGGGCTCAAGCAACCCTCTTGCCTCGTGATTAGCTAAGACTACAGGCCCATGCCGCCAAGTCCAGCTAATTTTTTAAAATAATTTTTGTAAAGATGTGGTTTTCCTAAGTTGCCTAGGCCAATTTTGAACCCCTAGCCTCATGTGATCCTTTCACCTCAGTCTCCCAAAGTGGTGGGGTTATAGGTGTGAGTAACACCTAGCCTTAACTTCCTTTAATGATTGCTTCTCCTAAGAAACTTCCTAAAGAAAACATAAACTTTACAATACCCAGGACATTTGTTTTAATCTCTTGGAGGCATCTATCTATCTTTTTTTTTTTTTTTTGAGTTGGAGTCTCACTCTGTTGCCCAGGCTAGAGTACAGTGGCACACTCACGGTCACTGCAGTCTTGTGCTAGGCTCAAGTGATCCTTCCACCTCTGCTTTCTAAGTAGCTGGAACTACAGGTGCATGTCACCACACCCAGCTAATTTTTTGATTTACTGTAGAGACAAGGTCTCACCAAGTTGCCCAGGCTGGTCACAGACAGCATCTATATTTACTGATCCAAACAGACTTTTAAGAAAAGGAAGAAGCCTTACACACATCTATAGTCCCAGCTACTCAGGAGGCCCAGGAGCTCAAAGCTGTAGTATGTTATGATTGTGCCTATGAATAGCCACTACACTCCAATCTAATAAGCCATTGCCTCTAAAAACTGAAATACAAGAGAAGAGGTAATAAATATTTAACAGCACCTATTTACACAGGCTGACTCTCTTCACACTGTGACAAGCTAATATTTAATTTCTTATGACATCCAGATATCAAGTCTCAAGAGAAAAGCCTCACAAAATTCATTTTCTTCAGTACAATGCTTTCATACTATTAAAATCTATGTATACTTTACCTTTGCTGCTCACCCCCAGACTGACCATAACTTCCAGAATCTAGAACACAAAAAAAGAATTTTAAATCTTATTTAAAATTATGCTTCCTTCAAAGGCTAACTTTAGCTCATATAGAAGAAACGTGGTTTAAAAAATGTGAAAAACTGCAGAAAGAAAAACTAGAAGTTAAATACTGTGCAGGGAGAAATCTGTACAAATAGTATTTACTCTTTATAATAACTACATATTCAAAAACTCTTATTCTACAAATGTGTGCTGTTAGTCACAAAAACGAACAAATGTGAAACAATCAGTGAAAATCCATCCTTTAAACAGATGCCAACACTCAAGCTGTATTATCTTCATATACAAAAAGACATCTGTTAATACTAACCAGGTTCAAAAAGAGGAAAGACATATACTCTAACATCTCCAGAATTACATTAACTTGCATTATCCTCTCCACCCCAATATATACACCATTTCTCTGTATTGGACTGCTGTGATGGTCAGCACCAACAAAAGGATTTCCAAAGACTTGCAAAAAGCATCTCATTTAGCTATTAGGGTGCACAGCCAAATGGCACAGCAAGTCCACAATATCAGCTTCTAGCTTCCATTTTTTTTTTTTTTTTTTTTTTTTTGAGTTGGAGTCTCACTCTGTCGCCCAGGCTGAAGTACAGTGGCATGTTCATGGCCACCCCCACCCCAGCATCGACTGCTGGGCTCAGGTGATCTTTCCACCTCAGCCTTCCAAGTAGCTGGAACTACAGGTGTGTGCTACCATGCCCAGATAATTTTTTGATTTATTGTGTAGATGAAGTCTCACAAAGTTGCCCAGGCTGGTCACGACCCATGAGCTCAAGCAATCCTCTCACCTCAGCCTCCCAAAGTGCTGGGATTACAGGCATGAGCCACCACGTTCGGCCCTTGGTAGATATTTTTTACTAAAATGGAAGCTTGAGGCTGGACACGGTGGCTCACACCTGTAATCCCAACACTTTGGGAGGCTGAGGTGAGAGGATTGCCTGAGCCCAGGGGTTTGAGATCAGCTTGGGCAACTTGGCGAGACCTCATCTCTACAACAAATCAAAAATTTAGTTGGGAGTGGTGGCATACGCCTTTAATTCCAGCTACTTGGAAGGCTGAGGCAGAAGGATCGCCTGAGCCCAGCAGGTTGAGGCTACATTGCCCAGAGTGTGCCATTGCACTCCAGTCTGGGCAACAGTGAGACTCCAGGGGGAAAAACTGTACATCACTTCCAGGCCCATGACTAGAACTGTAGCTAATAGGCAGATAAGACAAATAGGAAAATACACAATCTAATTAGACCACTAACAGATTAGAAACATCTAAGAAGTGGCAAAGCAAATTAGAGTCTCCCAAATCAGACTGAAAGTCTGGGGATAAAAAAATGAGAAAATTTAAGAAACACGGGAATGCATGAAGTTTTGTCAAACTATATCCCAAAGCATGGATGTGGGTTTTCCTAGTAAGAGTGGAGTAACAAGAAGCTTATTTCCTTTAGGTTCAGGCAAAACTATGGAAGTACACAGCACCAGGTCATTTGGCCCTATCTCAAATCTATTAAGTATTAAGTTCCTTAACTTTAACCCAGTCACTTGTCCTCTGAAATTGTAAATGATTTCTTTAACTGGAAGGCTTTAAAACTCCCAGATGATACAGAAAGCATATTCATCAGTAAATCTGGCCCTTAATACAGACCCTTGATTGATAAAGTACAGATGTTTTATATTCATCAGAGAAAATCAATTTATATATTAAGGCACTTTAAACTGTTCATTGTGATTGACACTTCAGCCTTGTATCTGAATCTATGAATTATTTAGAAGTCCTTTCAAATTTCTAAGAGTATAGAGTTTTGATTCTTTTTTTTTCCCCACAATACTCCATTATAGTCAGAAAAGGTATTTTCTATATCATTCTTGGTATTTGTTAAGAATTGCTGTTTTGCCAGGCACGGTGGCTTAAGTCTGTAATCCCAGCATTTTGGGAGGCCAAGGCGAGAGGACTGTCTGAGCCCAGGGTTTTGAGACCAGCCTGGGCAACTTGGTGAGACCTTGTCTCTACAATAAGTCAAAAAATTAGCTGGGCGTGGTGGCGTGTGCCTGTAGTTCCAGCTACTTGGAAGGCTGAGGCCAAAAGATTGCCTGAGCCCAGCAGGTTGAGGCTGTAGTGGCCATAAGCATGCCACTGCACTCCAGCCTGGGTGACAGAGACTCCAACTCAACAAAAAGAATTGCTGTTTTGTTTTTCCCCCTGAGCAAACTTAAGTTCCTTCAGTACTTAAAAGGAATTAAATATTTTCTAAATCTTGAGTGAATTGTTAAATCTGTAACATTGTTCATTAGTTTTATGATTCACATTTGTCTAATGTTTGGTCACATTGTTTGCCTGATCTATTAATTGCATAAAAAGGTACGGTTTTTAAAATTCCCCATTTGACTATAAACCTTTCAATTTCTTATAATTATCTTTTTTTTGTTTTCTGTAGTTTGAGGCTATATTGTTAGGCACAGAAAAGTACAGACATTTTCCAGATGAATTTTCGCTTAACATTACATGAACCCTAGCACTAAAAATGTTCAAACTTTATTTTAACTAATAATATAACAATCACCTTTTGATTGGTGTTTGCCTAGTTAACCTTTTTCCATCTTACTTTCAACATTTCTTGTTCTTATGTTTTAGGTATATCATTTCTGAACAGGATTTATCATTTTTTTCTCAGAGTGAAAATATTTGTCTTTTAACTGGTTTTAGTACTTTTACTGTTAGCTTATTTATTCGTATCTTCTTATATGGAAACTTTTTCTTTTCCTTTTAGCTCCTTTCTTGCTGTTAAGGTATTTTTACTCCCTTTTTTTCCTCCTACTGCTTTAGAAGTTGTATTCAATTTGTTTGTTTTTGAGTCAGTCTTATACTGTCATTCAGGCTGGAGTGCCGCAGCACGCTCACCATCACTGCAGCCTTGACCTGCTGCTGGGCTCAGGAGATCCTTCTGCCTCACCCTTCCGAGTAGCTGGAACTACAGGCACATGCCACATCTGGCTAATTTATTTTAGAGATGAGGTCTCACCAAGTTGCCCACACTGGTCTGGAACCCCTGATCTCAGGCAGTCCTTGCCTCAGCCTCCCAAAATGCTGGGATTACAGGTATGAGCTACCAAGCCTGGTTGAACTTCATTAAAGCTTTAAGAAGATGGAAAATAATGTAAATGATCCTCAGAGTTAAGAGGGAAAATATAACTGTTGACCTTGATTTTCTACCCATTAAGCTGTCCTGTAGATATGGATCTCCAAAAGACTAATACCACTGTCTTTATTGAAAGAATAAAGGAAATTAAATCTAGAAGGGAGGAGTAGGCATGCCTGTGGTTCCAGCTACTTGGAAGGCTGAGGCAGAAGGATTGCCTGAGCCCAGGAGGTTGAGCCTGCGGCCAGGTTGAGCCTGCAGTGGCCATGAGTGTGCTACCGCACTCCAGCCTGGGGAACAGAGTGAAACTACAATGCAAAGAAAAAAAAAAAAGTAGCTGGAACCACAGGCGTGCACCACCACACCCAGCTAATTTTTTGACTTATTGTAGAGATGAAGTCTCACCACGTTGCCCAGGCTTGTCTTGAACCTGTGGGCTCAGGCAATCCTCTCGCCTCCACCTCCCAGATGCTGGGATTACAGGCATGTGCCACTGCGTCCCCCCCAAAAAAGAACTTTTATATAGTTGTCAATATTGATATTTTATAACCTACAGTTTCACATCAATGCATCTAGGTATTTATTTTTGTCTCATGTTTAAGACTAGTGCTTGACTCAAATTTTTCATCTATTTTGAAAAATTCTCAACTATCTTAACTATTGATTCTTCCTCCGTTTTCTCCTTAATCTTTCATTTCCATCTCTTTATTCTTCCAAATTAAATTCTAGAAGATTACACATTGAAAGATAAGTCATATCCATTATAATTATTTCTTCTGCTAAGTCTACTACTCAACTTACCTACGTTCCAATTCTATAAAGGTTCCTTTTCAACCCGGTGGCTTTTTTTTCATAACATCTTGGTTTTAGGGTTGATTCCTTCTTTTAGGTTTTCAATTTTAGACATATTATCCTTTTTCAAATTATCTATTAGAGTTATTAATCCTGTTTGTCATTAACTCTAATTTTGGTGAAATGTTTCCTAAAGTTCTACGATTTGTGAACTCATCTTCCACAACTTGTGATCTAGAACCCATGACTTTTTCTTCAGAAAAGGTTTTTCATTCATTTTTTTACCAGGAACTCCAAGGGTATTACAACCCAGAAATAATTTTCATGTTATTCTATGTTAAGGTTTCCTGGAACCCAAATGAATACCCAAATTGTGTGAAGCACAGGTCCCAAGTGGCAAACTCTCAGGAAACACTTTTTTCCCACTGTGTCCAGGCTCTCTTGTTATCTCTTACACAGGCATGAACCTTTTTTCCCAGTTCATTCCTGAAGATCCAGTCTTTCAAATGCATAGTACGCTAAGTCTAGGATTTATGTTAGAGTCTTAGTTCCTTATCTGGCTCTAATGGTCTCCGGGTTTCATCTCCTGCTTACATAGCTACTTGGGCAATAAAATCCAGTCTCTAAATGAGAACTACACCCTCCTCTTCAGGGTAGCTGTCAAGTTAGCTCTATGCCTACCTCCTGACCTCTACTCCATTTTTGACAATGGGGGTTTGCCCCTTCTTCTTCTTCTTAAACTTTTGCATTTTTTAAAAATATTTGTAGATAGAGGATTTTCAAGTTAATCTTGGTTTGCCATATTGCCAGTTGAGAAGTATCTTGACTTTTTAATTTTTATATGTATGACTGATATTCTTGTTATTTTAACTTGAAAGGTGTCAGATGATTCACATTTGTAAACAGTATTTGAATGTCTACAATTTTGACTTATTTAATAATGACTTAAGTGCTTATGTTTTATTAGGTTTATAAGTTTTCCTGTCAGGCATTTGGAGTGGTTGAGTTCATTTGACATGTTACATTTACAAGTGTAGTCTGGAATGTTTAAAGGACTCTTACCTAATATTAGTTGTTTATGGGGAGTTTAAAAGATTTCGTTTATTAATTTAAACATTTCATCAAAGAACAAATCAAAAGCATTATTATTTTTATACAAAGTCAAAAGTATTATTTTTATACACATATTATAAAATGTATAAATAGAATACCAAGTCTAAGAACTTAAAGAGTCTAGTTTTAATTAAATGAATGTTAATTTGGAGACAAGAATCTATTAAGTAGTCCTCAGGCATGAAAGTCAATCTCGTTATTAAAAAACTCAAATTGCAAAGTGACAAGTATCTGGTGTCTTGGTAATCTGAAGATCAGTACTGATGAGAAAACCAGCTCATACGCTAATATGGTACACAGAAAAGCCTATATTTTACAAACAGCAAACACTTAATTGCCCATAAAAACTACCCAGTTCTATAAAAATAAACCATTGTTCCATACCAATAATTATGATAAAAATCAAGACAGGCTAAAAAAGTTTTTAGTGAGCACTATAACCACTGAAACTTGGTAAATTTCTCCGCAAGAACTGAATTTTAATTTTTCTTACACCATGGATAGATTACACATCCTTCTAAGGGTGTACTTCTATGGTGGTTTACCATAATTCATTTCCCAAATGTACATAATTTCATCCCAAATTATGTACCTGGTGAAAGATGTACCAATATCTACTCTGGAATATGAAATTACTGTTTGAGTGAGGATTAAGCAAAAACTGGAACAAGTGCAGTTTACAGTCTCTTACATCAAGTAGATGCCCCCCCCCCCAAAAAAAAATCAATGTCCTGGCTCCTTAATAGCAACATTAATCTAAGCATATCACTCTCCTGTCCAATCTTTATTGCTAATCTGTACCCTTCTCAGAGTTTCTGCCTTATGTCCACCCATCTCTATCCTTCTGCAAGACTGGGTTACTAGGTTTACTTGAAAATACTAGCAGGTCTGCCCTTAATAAAAATGTAAGGCTGCCGTAATGCATATATTTCACCCCGACCATATGGTTTCAGGAAATGTTTTCCCAGCAAAAAAAGTGGTATCTAACTCTCATGACGGCTTCTGTCAAGTGCATCTACGCCACCTGTGATGTAGCCCGACAACAGAGGACCTTGTGTGATCAGCTGGGTCTGCTGAATCAAGAGGACATCCATGTTTCAGACTTCATTCTGGTTTATCAGGATCCTAGCTGTCCTGAAGAAACCAACGCCTCTTTTTCTCTTCCACACAACGGGAAGCCTCTGCCAACTGAACTGCTTGATGGAAAAGACTGCCTTTGCTCTGGTCTTCGTGTTGTAAGGTAAATGCCACATATACCTACAGGAGCTTATCAATAATAGACAAGGCTCATTTTCAAACTCTTTCAGGAGATAAACAACTGGAGGAGGGAATGAATGGCAGGCGGGGGAGGAGGAGGCTGAATTATATGCAAGCAACCCCAACTAGACTACGAGTGTTTACTGCAGAGGAAATGACGATTAGGTACGATTTCGTGTGAGGCAACGTCCTTCGAAAGGGCTCCCAGAGCGTCAAGGCCCCCACCTGATGAATGGGTGAGTCCATTCAAGGCCCAGCTCCACTTCGCGGATGGGGAAACAGAGGTACGAGGCGGCGAGATGACTGGCCCGAGGCCTCGCTGAAAGATCTGAGGCGGAGCGGAGAACCAGAAGCACCGACTCTCTCAGGCTGATGCCCTAATCTCGGCTCCCCTCGCCCTTATGATGGCGTGGATGGTCTCCGCCCCCCGACTCACACACACCCTCCCCCGGGAGCGGCAAGTCTCCTCAGGTTCCAAGGACAGGGCCAAAAGACGGGAGGCCAGAAGCGCTCCCGCCGTGGTTTGCAGCCAGAGAGCGTTGGGAGCGTGCGTGCCCTCAGTCCAACATGGCGGCGGCCGCGGCCGCCCCCCCCCC